TTGTTTATTAACATGATATCGTGTTTGTTGATAGAAACCCAAGAGCTTTGTGTCACAAACGTAGACACGGAGCATGGTGCTTACAAGGATCCTGGACACCACTTTCCATCACCGTGTGCGGTCACCCTGGCCCAATTAACCGTGGCGTGGAATAAATCCTCTACATTTTCAAACAAAGAAGCACCCCGAATCCCTCCAAGTTCTGAGGTCTCAGTGGTAATAGCAAGAGCTTAATGCTTTTTTTCTGCGTGTCTCAGGTTGTATCGCATGGTGGCATTGATGCAGAGGAAGAAATATGGGGAGGCAGGGTTTGTCTTTTCTGTGTAGCTTCTTTGTGAGTTCTGTGCGGTTTCAGTAGTCAACATTACGGGTCCAGACCAAATAGATTGGTGAAGCCCCCTGTTCTGACCCCAATCGCGAGTCCCCGGCGAATGACAGGGAACGGTTGCTCTGCTCCCTGTGTTGGGCTTGGTTGGCTTAAGGAGCACGGGCGTAGCTTTCTGACTGCTGTGTGTGTGTGTGACGTGTTGTAAAATGCCTAACTTGGACCACGATATAGGGTTTTCTCTGAGACAACTACTGTTTATGTGTGTCTCGTGCAGCTAGCATTTTATATGAATTATTTACTATAATCCAGTGTTTCTTCGTTTTCTTTCGGGGAAAAACCGACATATTTTGAATCATCAGGTGCAACACAGAAACTCCCCACACGACCTTGAAAATCTACCTATTTTTCTCAGGGTTAGCAAGCGCTTTCATTTCCAAAAAGATAGTAATCTCTAACCCGGGAAAACCACAATGTACTCGCCAAATCCTTCGTTGTAAACTGTATGGTAGCCTGGTGTGGTGTGTGTGGTGTTGTTTTGCGACTAAAGACGGATCCTAGGTGGTTTTTTCTAATGTCCACTTTTTCCAGCTCAGAATAGCACTTCAAAACAAGCTGCTGGGATATCAGGCCGGGCAGTCCTGTCCACTCGCAAGGGTGACCTATTGCGAACCATGCGGTGCGCTTCAGCCTCATTTACATATGGACAAATCACCACGTCCCATAAGCAGTTACGCCCGCAGCTTTCGATCGCCCGCCTCAGCTTCTGGGGCGGGTTCAGGGCCACATACCACGCGATAACCTGCAGCACGACAGGAAGAGAGTGTATTACATGCAGGAGACAACACGTAGATGGGCAAAATTCGCCACAACGCTGGGATTGTCTCGCATTAAATGAATACTTAAACTAGTGCTGGTATATCAGTGGGAGAATTGTCTTTCACAATAATTTTTTAGTAAAACGATTCAGGGGAAGGTTCATTCTTCAGCATGTTTTCCAACTACAGCCAGTGGGTGTGTATATTCACTGGGATTATAGGAAGAGAATCGTGACTGTGATATTCTCGGAATAAGAGAAATTCAGTATTTCCATGTGGTTTGGTGGTTCATCCCTCAGCCTTCTTTTTGCTTAATTCATTTGTAATTCCGTTGCATTTCCCAGAATGCCTACTCCCATCCACCACTGTTTTTTTCTTCTTTCTGAGGCTTGTGCGGGGGCACACCACGACGCGGACAAGAAAAGAAAAACAGAATCATGGCCTGTCTTTTTGTATTAGTTTGATGTTTTTATGTTTGGTAATTAAAAGGTTTATGTCATTTATTTTTATTATTATTTATGTATTTAAATGGTTTCCAGTGTAGACATTCCCTAATTCAATTTCTTGCCTGTTGGTGATCGGCTTGAATGTTGGTGTGGTTCCCCAGATATGGCAGGTTGGCAGCCCGTCGAATATTAAGACTCTGAGTGGATTACCCATCGTAACAAAAATTCGTTTATGGTTGGCGGTGAGTTTCATTAAAGCTACTCCTTCAAACTCAGGTCGCAGGGTCGCCTGGCTGGGAAACGATCTTTAGTTTAATTTCATTGTTTGGGATTTGGTCCCACTTGAGGAATTAATTCCTGCCAAAAAGATCAGCGTTGTGTAACTACGCTTCCCTTGGTGGCTTTGTGAGATTAAATCCTGTGGGTTGATGTGAAAAGCTGCAGTGGGTTTTATTGGAGAGTTTTTGTTGGCCTATATGACACGTGTTGTGTGGCTCCCCTATTATCTGTAGACAAATTCCCTATCAAAAGCCAGTAATCCTATCTCTCGAGATCTGCCATATCAAGATGTTATGGATCAGACCACTTGCGCATCCTGCGCTGTTGTTGGTGTCACCCACTGCGCTCCCCACAGGGTTTATGGACATCTATAAACATTTTTGGCAATGACAAAGCTCCTCGTGCCCTCTCCTCTTGTTCTTGTGGCGGTGTTCTCAGGGTCACCTCATCTCCTCTCTCTCTCTCCCTCTCCTCTCTCTCTCACACACACACACACCCACACAACACACAAACAGGAAGAAGGCAGATTGCCATGGTTTGGTTAGGATATACAGTGCGTCCCAGGTACAACGAAGCTTGTGCTGCCATGCTAATCATTTAAATGTCTTTATTCCCTCTTCATGTCAAGGGGTCATCGCCCATTGGTGCTGTGTGTGTGTGTGTGTGTGGTGTGGGTGTGTGTGGTGTAGCTGTCAGTGGTGCTGTGGTGTGGTGGTATTATGTCGTATGGTTGTACCACTCTAGGGATAAAAAGTAGTGATCTCTATCTCTTGAGTCCACGTCCCTCACCAAGTTCAATATTAAAGTATCTAAGGGACTTCAGCCCACATGTGGTAAAGCTAATAGCTGTTAAAGATGATAGATGGTTGATGAGAATGTGACGCAGAGCCACTGCCATGCATGAAGGATGTGATTGTGCATCACCTTGAATCAAGGGTTTATTAGAATTAATTAGAGCAGATATTTATTTGTTCATAAAAGAGCCTCTAGTCTGGTATAGAGTGGATCTCGATCGGTGGGGTAATCCATCATACCTGTGGATTTTTGTATGAGTTTGATTTTTCCTACCTGCAAATGAGTTAGAGAGGACTTAGGGGATGCAAAAATGAACAACAATGGAAGGCCCTTAAGTATGGCTAACGGTGACTGCCCACAAAAATGTGTTTAATTATAGTTAATAGTTGTGACCTTTTTCTATGTGTTCTGTTTGGAGACACGGAACTGTTATGATATGTAACATTAAACTGTAAAATTGATAACAATAAATAACAAACACTTTTTTGAATTAAACAAAAATATTCCCTGCCACTATCTGTCTTAACTATCTTTCTGTGTGGATGTATGTGCCACACTTTCTCTGGACAGGGTATTGGGTTCAGGTCGAGGACAATTCAGAAGCGCTCCATTGGCGTGTTGCCCGGAGGGCGACCCCTGGGCGACCCTCTGGCTGTCCAGGGGCCTGACTTCCTTGTGCAGAGGCTCCAGTCCGATGGCCCTGCCATATCACTCTCGATTGGACCGAGCCAGCTCGCCCTGTGATGCATCGGACAGGAACCTGAGGGCGTGTGGTGGATGGTGATAGGATGGTGCCCAGGGTCGTGGCCGACGGGCGCCGATTGCCGCTGCGCATGAGGGGTCCGTTCGGGTGGGTGGGGAGGAGTGGAGTTGAGCGGAGTTTTTCTGGCTTGGCTGCCTGCCCCCGACAAGTAGCCTTTAATAGACCTCCCTGCTTTTTCTTCTCCTTCTTGAGAGTGGGAGCGGAGAGGAATAAGGGAGATCCAAAGAGGAAAGGACTGGAAGGCAAAGAAGAGAGAGAAAGGGAAATAAGACACAACAAACAAAATCGTCTCAATAATCGCACACTATATTTGGTTTCATAAGGCTATCTCTTGAAAAGTGACAAGACGATGTAGATGCAAGTGTGGCTACGTTCTGTTGTAAACAATCACTTCATCGGTACAGGGGAATATTTGCTATTCTCCCTTTTGCTCCTCCATTATACAAGAACCCCCACAAGTAGCACGAAAGGAGCGGACTGTCTAAACAACCCTGGTGTTCCGTCCCCTGGATTTTTCGGCTACGTTTCCCCTTTTGCCCCTAGCCGGGGTTCTTTTTCTTTGCCGCGGGCACTCTTCGCTGCGCACGCTCTTGTGCACGCTTGGTCTGGGCCCGGCACTCACCTCCGAACGTCGTCGGTGGCCCGCGCCGCCCACGGTCGCCCTACTGTGTTCAACCGGTTCCACAACCTGGTGCCAACCACCACCCATCTTGGGCACGGCTTACCTAATCCACCGCTCTACACTGACTTGTTTCCTGCCCTAAACACCAACCACCACCTGTACAAAGGAAGGTTCTCTGTTTTAATTATTCTTTTGGCCAAACAACAGGCTGGGGGAAAAAACCCATTGACAAAGGGAATGTGACACATGAGCCTTGCCACAGAAAGGAAAATGGGGGGTTGGATGGATAAACTGTTGGATTGTAGAACATGTGGTACAAGATGGTAATTTCACTCTTAAAAATTTTAATTATTTATGGCTAAGCTAAGCATACATCTACCTGGAGCCATAATCTTAACATATACTTACAACATAAGAAACATGAGAAAGTAGGTATTTGGAATCTTTCTTGGTCCTGGGGCACCCGAGGAAACTTCACATATATTAAGGAGAACAGCTCATCACTTCTTTATTGTCTTGTTGGAGCTCTGATCAAAAGGTGCTTTTAAACACACACACACACAGTTAGCTAGTCAAGGTCTGAGTTTCGCTGTGCTTCTATCTCCAGAAACAGGGAAAAAAGGTAGATGGTTGTGGGTGGATGTAAACTACACAAGCCTGGATCCACATTCAGGATGTAGAGATTCACAAAGCAGACCGACTACACACTCACTGAAGCCGTACAAAAATACTTGTTAAAGGTTGACAATATCAGAGGAAAAGTTGTTGTCAAAGGTTGGCAGTTGTGTGATGAAAAACGTGTCTCCCTGCCCTCTGACTTCGGGTGTTTTCCCCTCGATCGTACATTGTCCCGTGAGCACTGGATCTATTCTGCACACATTTTGGTTTCACAATATTGCTGCAGTCTGACTAAAAATCTCAACAGTACCTCAAGAAAAGGCTGAGGATGAGGAATTACTGTTAGCAATCTTTGTGACATAATGTATTGTATTTCCAAAAGATGTTTCCTAGGACCAACTGCATTAGTACCGGTAACTATATTTTTGGTTGCTTTGTTCAGGAATATTCCAATCTAAAAAGGCTGGATTAAGATATTGTCCTACCAAGGAAGTTTGTGCCTGCTTAAAGAAAAAAAAAAGTAGCAACAGAAATCCCTTTTGTCAAAATAAATAATAACGGATTGTGTACAATACTGTATATGTAGATATATTGGCAGGTTGTATCAAATATTACCAAGTGCATTTTTTGTCTCTATAATCCCGCATAGAAGATCAAAACAACTTTATCAATACAAATCAGTTCTTTAAGGAGTTTCTTCCTACATTCAGCAAGCCAGTTTATGCAGTTCAACCCAGCTGTGGGCTGTCTATAAAGGACAGATTTTAAATTTGAAAAATGGGTGTGAAAATGTATGCAGGATATTTAACTAGAAAAATGAATCGCCTATTTGTTTTTAAATTACAATTCCTGTGACCGATCATCACAGCATGACTAGTTTGGGACAACACAAACATCTATTTCAACATATATATATATATAAAAAAAACATAATAATGCTACATGCATTGTTATTAACATATATCGTGTTGTTAAGAAACAAGAGCTTGTTGTCACAAACTAGACACGGAGATGTGCTTACAATGATCCTGGACACACTTCCCTCGTCACCTGGTGATAAATCCTCACTTTTCAAACAAAGAAAGCACCCGAATTCAAGTTCTGAGGTCTCAGTGGAAAGCAGAGCTAATGCTTTTTGTGCTAGTGTTTGCTGGTGGATGATGCCAAGGAGGAGAATTGGGAGGCAGGGTTTGTCTTTCTGTGCTCTTTGAGTCTGTGCGGTTTCAGTAGTCAACATTACGGGTCCAGACAACAGATCTGGTGAAGCCCCTCTGACCCCAACGCTGTCCCCGGGCGAATGACAGGAAAGGTTGCTCTGCTCCCTGTGTGGCTGGTCGGAGCCAGGGCTAGCTTTCCTGTGTGTGTGTGTGTGTGTGTGTGTAAATTACTTGGACCGATATGGGTTTCTCTGAAGACAACTACTATTAGTTATGTTTTGTGCCAGTAGCTTTTAATTGAATTATTTTTAATCCAGTGTTTCTTTTTTTGGGGGAAAAACGCATTTTGATCATCAGGTGAAACTACAAATCCAGACTTCCTTTTTCTCAGGGTTAGCAGCGTCTTTAATCCAAAAGTGTAATTCTAGGAAACCAATGTCGGCCCAATCCTTCGTGTACGTATGTAGCTGTGTGTGTGTGTGTGTGTTTTGCGACTCAGAAACAGGAACAGTGTTCTTTTGTCCACTTTTTCCAGCTCAGAAGCTCTCAACAAAGCTGCTGGGAAACAGGCCGGTCTGTCCTGTCCTCTGCAGGGTGCCTTTGTACCAGCCGTCCTCCCTCTTCTTATGGACAAACACCACGTCCCCTTCCCGCAGCTCGATCTCCGCCTCGCTCTGGGGCGGGTAGGGCACCACCACGCGATACCTGCAGCACACAGAGAAAGTTATTACACACAGACAACACTGTGGGCATCGCCACACGCTGATATGACTCGCATTAAAGAACTTAACTAGTGCGGGTATCAGTGGAGAATTCTTTCACAATAATTAGTAAAAGTTCAGGGGAAGGTATTCTCAGCATGTTTCCAACTACAGACAGTGGTGTGTAATATGGGTAAAAGGAAATATTAATTCTCGGAATAGAGAATCAGTATTTTGTGGTTGTGTTCCCTCAGCCTTCTTTGCTTAATTCATTTAGTAATTCCTTGCATTTCCCAGAATGCCTTTTGTAATTAGTTTGATGTTTTATGTTTGTAATAACAGGTTATGTCATTATTTATGTTATTATGTATATATGGTTTCAGTGTAGACATTCCTAAATTCATTTCTGCCTGTGTGATGGCTGAATGTTGGTCCAGAATGGCAGTTGCAGCCCTCTTTAACTCTGAGTGATTACCATCTAAACAAAATCTTTAATGTTTGAGTTCACTTAAAGCTACTTTCAAACTCAGTCGCAGTCGCATGGCTGCGAACATCTAGTTTACATGTTCAATTGTTTGGATTTTTCCCACTTGAGAATTAATTCCTGCAACAAATCAGAGTGTGACTGCTTCCACTTGGCTTTGATAAATCGTGGTTTGTGTGAAAAGCTGCAGTGGGTTTTATTGGAGAGTTTTTGGCCCAAACACTGTTCTGTGTTATATCTGGAATTATTCAAAAGCCAGTAATCTATCATCTGATATGCATATCAGATGTTATGATAACCACTGCGTCTGTGTGTTGGTGTACCACTGTCCCACAGGGTTTGACATCTATAAAACATTTTGGCAAGACAACCTCTCTCTCTCTCTCTCTCTCTCTCTCTCTCTCTCTCTCCTCAACCTCTCTCTCTCTCTCAACACACACACACACACACACACAAACAGAAGAAGCAGTGTGCATGGTTTGGTAGGATAACCAGTGCTCCCAGTACAACAGCTTCTTGCTGCCATGCTATCATTAAATGCTTATTCCTCTTCCATGTCCAAGGGGCATGAATTGTGTGTGTGTGTGTGGTTTGTGTATGGTTGTACCACTCTAGGATAAAAATATGATTTATTGATCACTCACACCAGTATTAAGTGTTGCACTAAGGGACTTCAGCCCACATGTGGTAAGCAAAGCTTTTAAAGATGATGATGGTGATGATGTGCCAAGATGATGCTAAGGGCATGGATTGTGCAATCACCTTGATCAGGGTTATTAGCATTATTATGAGCAAGATTATTATTGTTCATAAAAGAGCCTCTGTCTGGTAATGATTTGTTTCCATTCATCCTGTGGTTTTGTTATGAGTGATTTTTCCTACTGCAAATGAGTTAGAGAGGTTGGGATGCAATGACACAACAATGGAGAGTCCTAAGTAGCTCCTGAAATGCAAAAAATGTGTTTTATAGTACAGTTGTGACCTTTTCTTGTGTTTGTTGGAACAGGAATGTTTGTATGTAACAATTAAACTGTAATTGATAACATAATACAAAACACTTTTTTTGCTAAACAAAAATTTCCTCCAACTTCTGTCTAACTTCTTTCTGTGTGGATGTATGTGCCCACCTTTCTCTGGACAGGGGTTTGGGTTCAGGTCGGAGGACCATCAGAGCGCTGCCAGTGCGTGTTGCCGGGGGCGACCTGGGGAAATTGGTGTCCAGGGAGCCTGACTTCCTGTGCAGAGGCTCCAGTCCGATGGCCCCTGCCATATCACTCTCGATTGGACAGGAGCCAGCTCGCCCCTGTGATGCCATCGGACAGGAACCTGAGCGGGCGTGGTGGTGATGGTGATGAGGATGGTGCCCAGGGTCGGTGGCCACGGCGCCTTGCCCTGCCAATGAGGGGTCGTGGGTGGGTGGGGAGGAGGGAGGTGAGCGAGGTTTCTTCTTGGCTGCCGCCCCCGACAAGAGCTTTAATAGACCTCCTGCTTTTCTCTCCTTCTGAGAATGGGGAAGAGGATAAGGGAGATGAAAGAGGAAAGGATGGAGGCAAAGAGAGAGAGAAAGGGAATAAGACACCAAACAAACTGTGAGATATACACAAATATAGGTTTCATAAGGCCTATCTTGAAAAGTGACAAGACGATAATGAAAGTGGTATCTGTGTAAACAATACCTCTACACAATATTTGCTTTTTCTTTGCTCAATATAAAGAAACCACAGAGCACAAAGAGCACTGTCTACACATTAATCAAAAAACACATTTATGAAACAAATAGAAAAATATTTTCCCGCTGATTCCATATGACACATGGAATAAAACTGGTAATAAAAGCACCTTTGTTGATCAGAGCACAGACAATAAAGCAAGGTGAGCTGTTCTCCTTTTAATATTTATGTGAGAGTCTCGGGCCAGGACCAAGAAGATCAATACTACTCTCATGTCTTTATGTATGTAGTATATGTAGATATGCAGGTAGGATGTGCTTAGCTTAGCATAAATAATTTTAAAGGTTTTAGAGGAAATTACATGCTGTACACATGTCTTGACAATCAACAGTTTATCCATCCACCCATTCTTCTGTGCAGCTCACTGTGATCACATTACCCTGGTCAATGGTCCCAGCTGTTGTTTGCCAAGAAATAATTAAAACAGATAACTTCCTTTTTACATTTGTGTTTGCATTAAACAATCAATATATCTGTTAATTAGTAAGCTTCAGAGGTGCTGTGGTGCACAGTTTTGAACTTTACACAGAGCTACGTTGTTGCTGTCGCTGTTTCCACCTACTACTCGTATTTATGCTCCATACATCTGCACAGATCTTCTCATCTAATTCTCTGCAAGAAAGAAAACCCCTGCATTTTTCAAAATGTTGAACTATTCCGTTAAACCAGTGTGTACTGACACATCATTTTATGGTAGACCTGATACTACAGAACTAGATTTCTGGGTTTCCAAAAACAGAATCAGTGTTTGTTACTAATGTGGCCAGATCTGTGATTTCCCTGCAAAATGCTTTAAAGACAGACAGTTTGTGTAGCTATAAACATGGTCCCTCACATAACAATGCCATGTGGGCTACTTTCTATGAGCACAACAAGTAGCTCAAGGTCCATCACAATAAAATAAAAAAAGACAGCATGATTCTTTTCTTTCTTCTCTCGTTTGTTCCCTCACAGCTCAGAAAGAAGAAAACAGTGGTGATGGGAGTAATTATTACTCTCAGAAAAGAATGTTTTAAGCAAATATTCACAGTATGAATGCCTGCTAAGTCACAATGTGTATTTTGAACAGAAAATGTAGTGGTTAACTAATATTTCAGTCTGAATAGATGTGCATGTGCTGTGGTGGTCTTAAGAATAAACTATATTGATTATAGTGAAATTGTCTCTTAATGGCACCTGTAAAGGTAGATTCACGTTTTCGATCCATGCTTCATTTATGCTTGATTATAGAAAGGCTGTCCATTCAGTCAAACTCTTTGTGATATCAGGAGGACAAAAAAAGATTTTTGTGTCTCTTTGTCTTAGTCATGACAACGTGGATCAATACTGAGCATGCCTGAGCATAATTACATTTTTTTTTGGATGCATGAAGCCTCCATATCAGCTCCATCTCTGCCTCAGCCATCTGTTTTCTTAGTACGTGGGCTGCTGGATCCAGCATCAATTGTTTTGTTTTTTTACATTAATTTTCCATCAAACACTGTGATGGACAGTCGCCATGGCAACAACATGGAGTTGGAAATGTGGTAGTACAATATGGGAATAGAAACCTCACTGTTTCATTATTATTTATCTAAAAAAGCCTTGTGATTTTATATTTAAATCAGAATACAATAAGAGACAGGACAACAGCAGAGAGTAGAAAATGCTTCTAAGAAGAGTGGTTGTAAATAAATACAAGGCACCAAAGAGAGTGAAGGAGAGAAACCAGAACACAAAGAAACCACATCAGCCACCTACAAAGCTCATTATCAAACAAGACAAAAACTAATAAAATACTCCAAATTTGTAAGTTAATGACATCCAAACTACAGCAAATATGACAAATATGATCAACATTCTGCAGTAGGAGTATGGAAAGCATCTGCCACCACACTACATGCAGAGTTTTAAGTGTTTTACCACACTCCATCACACAGACGGTGCAAACAAAATGTACTGAAAGAACAGATTTCAACTTACATGAAGCGACAAGCACAAAAGGCGTTGTAGCTGACTTTGATTTCAGAGAAAGTCAGCAGGACAGAGACCAAAACACTGGAGCTGTGTCTGTGTACTGCGGACCTCATTGCAAGAATAGCACAAACCACAGTCCATGAGCAATAACAGAAGGTTTTAAGATGTTTTAAGTTTTTAGGGGTTTGATTTCTTCAGCTGCACCTTATATAAGAGGGCTAACAACTGTAAATAGACTCAACAACTGGCCCCTATCATATTGTGATAAAGCAAAAACTGGCACAAACTTATAGTGGAGTCAGAAGAGTCAAATGTTCTGTTTATCACCAGCATTAAACACAATTTATTTCCGCCCAGAGTTGCATTCATTTTCCGCCAAGATCTTGTATTGATGATGGGAGAGTCGCACTGCTGCGCAAAGTCTTCTCCAGCACATCCCAAAGATTCTCAATGGGGCTGAGGTCTGGACTCTGTGGTGGCCAATCCATGTGTGAAAAGGATGTCTCACGCTTCCTGAACCACTCATTCACAATGTGAGCCCGATGAATCCTGTCATTG